CCCCCCTCTCCCTTCCCTCAAGTCCCCGGTGACTCTTCCGGTGCGAGACACAGATTTAACACATCTTCTTTGCCGACCCTGATCCATTGTTGTTAGTTGTGCTCGGGGCAAATGTGTGTCTCCATTAGGACTTCAAAAATTAGGTCTTTGCTCTTTATCTGGAAACAAACGGTACTTTTATTTTCGTATCATTTTCAAAGTGTTGTAGTTGTTCTGTAGCCTAGTTTTGAATAAGTTCGACACAGAATTAGAGTAATTTTTTCCTATGTGCTCATAGAAGCTGCATTATTTGTTGATGTGACAGGAAAACAATAGAAGCCACTTGATGTCAATCTCACCTCGTCTCTTTCTACATAACTCTTTGTAAAGAAGCAATTTATGGTCACAAAGGCTCATCTTTGTCAATATCATCCATTTAGAGAATATAAAGCACAAGCTGTAGTCACCTGCTCCTCGACGTAATCTTAACTGGGCCCTGGCTCGATGTAATAATATAGGGGAGGGCAGAAGGAGTGCCAATTGCATTTCTTTATCGAGGATCAATATAAAGCTACACAAATGAACTCCCGGTCTACCTGCTTGCTTCAAATGATATGGATCGAGCACCTCAGCCCGAGGTGTACGTTTTCTCTGAGCCTGTACATTTAGTTATTCACACAGTCCTTCTCACGTTTTTCACACTGTGCTTAAGACTACTGTTGGACTGACTCCATTATACAGCTGAAATCCCATTAAGATGCGTTAAGATACAAGAGAGACTGCAGTTTGGCTGACTATCTCAAACAGAGATATCAGCCGAGGAGATGTGTTGATGGGTCACCAATTCCCTGCTGTAGAATAAACACCTGTCATATAGGGACATACAGGGAACATGCATTTATAAGACTTGGAACAAATTTTCTCTCTCTCGCTCTTTTATGTTTTTTTATTTTGAATGCAATTAAACTATTAATTGACCTGTGATTATGTTACTGTGTGTGCTGTGGTGGTGGTCCCTGTCACGTCTCAGGGACTTGATTAACTGAATGCCTCAGGAAGGACACAGACAAGAGACATTGGTGTCATTAGCCGTGAGCCCAGACTTCCAATAGACAGCATCTCTTTTTTTACAATGTTGTAATTTCCCAGCATAATAAAGCAGAAAGCTCCCTCGGGGCCACACCTAGGAAAAGGACAGCCAACAACAATAAGAAGGCTGTCTGGGTCTCAGTTTTGCGGTCAGGCCATCGGCAGCATAAGGGTGACATTTTCTGCTTCATATGGCTGCGCATCTTTTAGCCTTTCTACAAAAGGCAATACTCAACTTCAGAATCTCCAGCTTCTTTTAAATAGCACACATTTAGTGACAAGGGCTGTGATTACAAAAGGCTGGAATTGAAAGATAACAGTGAATAATAGTTTTCAATAGGCAAGGGATTAAGTGATTTTTGGGGATTGGATTGGATTTGTTCCTGATTGTAGGGTAGCCAGAGATGGAAGATATTGTAGTGTGTGTGTGTGTGTGTGTGTGAAAAGTGTTTTATTTCCTTTCTGTCTGCAGGAAAATGGATGGACCGCGAACACCCAGAGATGAAAGGAGAAGAGCGCAACATAATGAAGGTGGGTAATTAGCTTTTGATTGTGGCTTTTCATTTCACCAGACAGTGCAGCACAATGCAGTGTGGTGCTTAAATGGACCCTTCTTTTGTTGAAAGAAAATTACCAAGCCCTGTCAAAATATTCCATTAAGAATAGATGACAACATGTGTTTACGGACCGGCCACTAGAGGGTGCTGTTGAGCTGTCAAAGCCAGGCCGTATTTGGCCCCGATAGTGCCGCTACTCAAATGACAAGATCTAGGAAATTAAAGCCTGGTTCGTTCAAACAAAATCGCCTCTGATCTCTCAAACTTAAATAACTTTGAATCAGGAAATGCTGCTTCCATTCATATTATATTTAATATGTGTCACCTTTTACTTCACAGTTGAAAGGCGGCGAAGAGACAAGATCAACAACTGGATTGTCACGCTTTCCAAGATCATCCCGGACTGCAACATGGACAGCGCCAAGACTGGAGCAGTAAGCACTGTTCCTTCACTCTTCGCACATGCCAACCTTTTAAATGATTATTTGTGATTTTAATATCTTTTTTTTTTTACTTGGCATTAAGTCATCTCTGTCCTCACAGAGCAAAGGGGGCATCCTGTCCAAAGCCTGTGACTACATCCGAGACCTGAGGCAAAGCAACCAGCGACTGCAGGAGAGTGTGAAGGAAGTGGACAGGATACAAGTGGACAATGACTTGTGCAGGCAGCAGGTATTAATATCCATCTATGCTCTCGCCTACACATATTTGCATCAAGCCCAGTTTCCAGGACTTCAATAATGGGAAAAGAAGGTCTATGAATGTCAAAATATTCCTTTGAGGTGGTCGGGTGTAGCAGATAAATAATAATAAGGCCGCCATTGTGGGCTGCATATGTGTCTGTGAAGATTGCCACTGCGTTGAATTGATTAGTTTGCTTTGGACGTGCATTGCAACATCCATTCACTTAAGTCTCAGGAACTTGAAATCCAGCTTGCTTTATATATGCATCCTCAGTTCTCCAAAAAAAAGCCCCCTGGGACTTCAGCCCGCGGAGCTGATCATCACAGCCCGACTAAAAGGGATCAAAAGAGTTTGCGCCTATATAATGAGATGTGTTACCTGAAATCAGCGCTTTGAGAGTCTGTGGGAATAGTATTCACAGCGGTTGCGTGAGAGCTAACTGCATGCTAATACACTCCAAAGTATTGTGAAGTCTCGCAGCTCTGAGGCTGCCACATCTCCCCGTTGAATCACAGGCCTGCGAGGCTCTTGGCAATATATTCGTATTCTGATGCTCAAAGCTCAATATTCTTTTCTCAGTCGCTCAGTAGGGAGGCAGAGAATTGGGATGCACCCAAGGGAAATGTAGCGAAGATGACATACCTCAAGATTTGATAATCCACTTGGTGGTGGACAGAGGTGTCTTTGAAAAGGGAAGCTGCACATACCACTCTTTAATCCTGGGGATTGAATAGCCCTGTCTGTACATTACACACAGGCAGCACAGTCAAATGTCTTCAAACGGAAAAAAAGTTTAGTCTGTAAACTTGCTGCTATATTAAGCTGTCACAGAGATGAACACGTGGATAATGAGACTTTTTGTTTTGCTCTTTGTTCTTAAGATTGAAGAGCTGAAGAATGAGAATGCTTTGCTGCGAGCGCAACTCCAGCAGCACGGCATCGAGATGGTTGGAGAGACGCCACCGCAGTGAAGCAGAGACAAAAAGAACAAGGAGGGGGCACCACCACTCAGACAAACAGTCGACATGATGAAAAAAAGAAGGCGAGATAATGGAGGAAAAAACAAAAAGGACTTGTGAAGAATCACTTTTTCTAGTGAATGCATCTTTCCCAGGCTGCGAACCCTTCACCGGCCTGAGGTGGCTGTACTAGGCTGTTTCATTCCTATTGAGAGAACCACCCGTTACAACTCTGTAGACATGTGCTCCACTCACCACCACCAGAGTGCTTTTGCTAGCACACGCTATGAGAGACAACCTCTGCTGAACTCCTCCCTTCATTTGTATTTATGTAGCGTCACTCGTGGACTATGCTGTTAGTCATGTACATTTTAATTTAGCTCCCCGTCAGTGTATTTTACCCCAAACTTTTGATTTGGACTTAGTTCATGCTTTTATTCGTTTATTTTTTATTTTTAGTTCTGTATTAATATTTTTTTTTAGCTGCTTTAATTTATTAGTCCGCTTGCTGACAGAAGCCTCGTCGGAGACCAGTTACAGTGAAGCTCGTGCACACAAGAGAAGCAGATTGAATTTTTAAGTCAGAAAACATCAAAGAATGCAAAAACATTGTGATTCTCCAGGCAGACGTAATGTAATACACACAGTTTAATTAGACCCAAAGACAAACACAGAGCTGTGCTGGCCTATGCTTCTGGGCTGACTTATGTAAATAGGACTTGTCATTTTTTAATACAGATGTTAAAGAATGTTAGAGCAGATTATCTCTGGGAGAAAACAATCAATAAGTCATTATATTCCCGCTGGTCCTTTGTCATAATAATTACCATGAAGTGTGTGCTATCTTGGAGCTTGATTTGAACAAAAAAAAAAAAGTGGTGTACCGGTACTTGAATTGTTGGGCATTTGCTTAACAAGAGAAATGATTAAAAAGTCAACAAAATCCCTTTTTCAATTTCCAACTGTTTAAATGCTATTGAAATACAAATAGAAATGAAGGCGATTAACAAACACAGCACGCTGGATTGTAGACTGGAGTGGGATGCGGTGCAAATTTCAACTTTTGCCAAACTATATATAGAAACTATTTTTTTTTTTTTTCATCTTTTGTTAAAGTGTGATTTACCGGTGTCTCACTAGGTGTAAGAATAATCCCCACATGTTTCATTTCAAGCTGTTTGGTCTATTTTCGTGTTGCAAGACTTCAAATGCAGCTCCACGCACAAGGGGGGAGACACCCTGGAGAGCAGCACTCAAAGACTCTCTATGGAAAAAGGAGTACACACACATTCTGGGTTGCACTTCTTAGCTGAGCACAACTTGTTCTCCACGAAATGAAGGAATAGTTTGAAAGAGGGAAACTCGATCTCACATTTTTTTCCACCCTCTCAGGCGAACAATAAGTAATTGGTTGTAGAAACAGCAAGAGCCAATATTAACATTGTTGATGATTTTGAGAATGAATATACATGATGTCTGTGTTCCGCTTTGGGCCATGTGAGTAAAAGTGGGGGGGGAAAAAGATATCAAGCTTCAGAGCCACTTATTAGAGCACGATCGCTTCTCCTTGTGTCAACATTTCCGGATCCCACAGAGAAAAACTAACTCTCAGACCGCTGGAGAAATCAGGCCGACTATCACGTTTTAATATCTCAGACTCTGCAAGTTAACAGCTTGTGCTTTGGAAGTGCTGTTCTGCTTCTGCTGTTAGATTCAAACCTGATATGAATAGTGCAAGTGTCTGATCTATCAAACGAAGCTCCTAGCTATGGTTGAATGATGGATGTTTTGCGGTATAATTTTTTACACCTCAGTGAGAGCAGAGAATGTGAATGTGAAGACATGAATAATGCTTTGGAAGATGGATGTTCACAAATGAAAGGTCACTTGTGGCTAATTCTTTTTTTGTTTTTTTCATTTCTTTTTGAAATGGCAAAAGAAGGAAAGTGTTTTTCTCTGTAGCAGCCTCACTGTTCTCAGGTTAGATCTTAAGACATTTTTTAAGTGAAATGGTGGAAAATAAAACTTTCACTATCTAATAACATTTATCGACTCTGGTTGTGTCTCATTGTCCTTCGGAAGTTCTTGGAACTATGCAAACGTCAATACTTTATTACTTCTGTCAAGTTGGTTTTCGGTTCATGATAAGGTGCAACTGTTAGTCAGCAGGATGTTTTGAAACAATAGAGATGATTGAGAAATGAGTCATGGGCTTTACTGGAATCCTGAACTGTGGCATTGAAATGCTCTCTTAGTTTTAGACACATTGTTCAGTAGTCTTCACCCATCTACACATAAACATATCTGACGTGTTTTCTTTATTTTTTTGAAACGTGAAATAGTAAATCCCCTGAAATGTTCGTTTTAAATCTAAGGCATTTCTCCATCACCTTACATTTTAAATTAGTTTGTGTTGAAAAAACATTCCAAGTTGTCGTTCATTGGGTTTTGAGACTGAAGGTGTGGTTTGAACAGATTTGATTAACGAGCAAACAACCCACCAGCTTTCATCAGATGTTGATTAAAATCCTGCTTAATCCTGATTAGTGCGTTTATGTGAAAACACCATTCCCAATGGAAAAGAACCCAGATGAAAACACTAAGAATAAATCTTTCAAAAATAACCAAACATTTAATAATTCTACGAAGCAATATTGGTTCAGGGAGGATTCTGTGTGAAAATAGGTTTTTAAAGTCTTCAAAAAGAGCCTATATTACTTAAAACATCTAACGTTTCCCTAATGGTGTCCTATTGAGATTTACCGCCATACTTGTAATCAAACTAATTGAAACCTACCCATCGTCTCTGAGAAAAAAAAAGGCCCAATTCAACATTGTTTAAATCCTTAATATTCTTTGATATGGTAGATAGGTATTCTTTAAAAACGCTCAGCCTGAAAACCTTTCACAGTTCCAGATAAAGACATTTTTAAGACAGCCTTTTTAACAAAACACATTTGGAGGATTAAGCTTCCTTGGAGAAAGTAGGCACTCCCTGCGTACTCTTTAGCTCATCCGATCGATTGATCAACACTCTGGTAAGATTGAAACCTGTGAGCAGTCGGAACACACAGAGGGCACCTTGGGTGAGGAAGATCAATGGTGGATAAAAGGTGCATCTAAGCCTTCAGTGAGATTGAGTTTGACTTTGCAGGTCAAGGCACTTAAGCATCATTTGGCTGTTCTTAAAGAGAGAAGTCATGCTTTGGATAATCTTTTAAATGCAGACTGTGGTGTTGTACATGCGCACAAATTAAGAGTATTTATAACTCACAGACTCATTATCTATCAGTCGTCATTAGTCTGTTTAATTTGACTCGCTGTTCCGACCCCCTCCAGTGTCTCCAGGCTTGTCATCTGCCATTCAAACACACACACAGCCAGGCGGGCGTCTGTGTGTCCCTGTTTGTGTTTGAAGTGGCTGATCTTTGATCCCACGTACCTCTCAGATTGGGAAATAATACTCTCAGTCTGTCAGTCAGTGTGCCTCTTTCACCCAATGCCTGTAAAAGCCCTCTGAAGAGTGCTGTTTGAAAAAAAAAAAAAATCTAAAACAACATATTTGTTCCTACTCTAACAAATGTAAAATGACGCGAGTGACAGGGACTCTCACTTTTACCTCTCGGTGCAGATAATAGAATTACAAACTAATTAATGTGTGGATTGGAAGAGGTGTGTCTCCGCTTTGAGCAGTACATGGTTAGTGCTGAAATTAATAGATTTGGAACAGTGGCTCATTTCTAGTCGGTACTGAGCAAATGTCCATGTTTGCCTGGAGGGTGGGACAAAGCCACCTGCTGTAAACGAATGGGAAAAATCTATGTTTTTTAAATCTATGTTCAGGCCAGTCTACTTATGCACATGGTTGACTGATTTTCATCAAACTGGGCAACACATTCTCCTGGAAAGCCACAGATTCATGTCCTGCAGGCTTTTCTTACATTTGTGCTTTTGGGGCTACAACAGCTCTCGGTGAGGAGCAAACATTGTCCGATGCCTGTTTCTCATTCGCTCTCTCGGAGGTTGTTATTTGTCGAAAAAGGGCTGACAGAAAGAGTCTTATTCCATCTGACATACAATGCTTCTCGTACATTGTTCCTCTCATCTTTCTTGGGCCTACATTAATAACTACACAGCACCTGTCTAGTAGTAGTAACAGCACCAAGGTATGTTTTCTGTTGCTGTCAAGACATTTTTATTTTGTGTTGCTTTTTTTGAGCAGACATGGTGTTAGATTCTTAAAAAAGTACACAAGTTGAATGACATGTTTGACTTGGAGTTTGAGCACACAGTTCATAAATAAGAAGAAACAATGGGGAGTGTAGTTTTGAAAGTATTCGCAGGGTAAAACTAAAACAAATCACAGATTCTGCTGACAATAGAGTTTTATTAAGGACCGCCGAACAGTGACAAAAGTGTTATCATCACGGTTTAACATTTTAACTCAGCAAAACATCATGTATAGCAGCCAAAATCAAATGAAAAACACTGGACTACAGCTCATATTTACAAAGCTATCAGTTTGTTTCTAACTATGATTTGTTTCAAAGATCTTAGGATACAAATCTCTGCATGAACACATTTCCAATCACCTATTGTCTTTTTTAAAGGAATATTGAGCAAGTATTTTGCCATGCGATGTTTTCCTGATTTGTTTTTCTCTCTTGAGTATGTTTTGGGGCATTTTGGTGCCTCTTCGACAGAGACGGGTAATGAAGTGGCGCCTCCCCGACTGGAAACAGAAACATTAGAGTTAAGTGCCTTAACATGTTTATATGAAAACCTTTACTGACGTTTTTCAGTTTTTTTTTACCGTGTTAGTCTTGACATTTTTTTGTAAAGTGCTTAGCGTAATTGTTTTTATGAAAAGGTACCATATAGGCCTACATCTGGTGTAAACTTCTTCTTTATATTTTTTAAGGAGATATTTCGCCTTTTCTTGAATGGAATTAATATTGACAATGTTGGAATTTCCAGTAATGTATTGCAACATGCTTCAAAGTGGGGAATTATTCCCCAAAGTCTCCAGTGTCAGCTTCCGAGAACCCATCAACCTTGCTCCATACCGCCCCCTTAGTCTGAAAAACGACACTGCATTGGTTGAACTGAGGAGCAGTAAATGATCAGAGGCCATGACTATTACAAGTTCTCATGTTTGTTTACAAATTCTTCCAACACTGGTTCTTCCATGTCCTAGTTTTGAGTAAACACTCGCCCTGGCTGTGTTTTGGCGGCGAGTGGGGTTGTGTTGGGTTAGGTAGCAGACAAGCTGATATAAGTAGAATGTGTGGAGTGTCTTGCAGCTCAATATGTAGGGACGGGAGGAGGGGGGGGAAATGGGGCAGGAACAGAGGACGATGATGAAATACGGACAGAGGGGGCAATGCCCTCGAACAGGAGAAAAAGGGAGAGTGGCGCCTACTGAGGTGAATCTGTCTGCCGGGCTGGTGCCTGTCTTTGTTTGGCCAGAAGATTCCTACTGATAGCTGCAGTGACCGATATGAGACAAATGCTCAGGAACAACAGGCCAAACCACGCATGCTTGGAAAACCCAGATCTGAAAGTTGTTGTTTTTGTTCACTGTTTAGCACCTTTTTATTTAAAGTTTTCTATTTTTTTTTCTTCTCGAATGAACTCACACTGAAATTGAATCTGATATTTTTGTCCTGGTCCAGTCAACCTGTGTCATATTCAGATTTCTCATTAGCTGAGTCATGCCTAGTGAAGCATGGAAAACAAAATGACATGTGTTCATCGACATGTGAGTGGACATTATGTGCCGATTCTAATAGCGGACTAGAGCTATGTCTCTTAGTCCATATTAAAGAATTGTGGGTCGATTCCAACCGATGTGGAGCCATTCATGGTTGTATTTGTTGACACTGATGTTGTGGTCACCCAAAGCAAGCAGCGGGGTTATCAGTGAACGAGACCCACTGACGCAGGGGTCCCGCAACATGTTGTATACTAATTGAGTCAGCACAGGCAATTTGAAAAAGATACTGAAGGTATAATGAGAATTCAAATGGCCTCTGAATTTATCAGCATGCACAGGCCACATTTTATCAGTTTGTACCTTTATTCTGCCTTTTTTTTTTTTTTTTTAAAACATTATTGATGTTTGTATTTTATTCACAGCCTTGTGTTATTGTGGAATAATTTTCTTACCCTGACAGGATAATTAATCTAAAGGTGTTTATCGCTGCTTCAGTGATAAGAGGAAAAAGGGTCCTTACAATTTGTGTAAGTTATTTATTTATATGCAATTGATAACAATCTGGTTTATTATTATGCCATTATCATTAAATCTACAATGTTATAATTTCACACTGGAATATTTGTTAAGGTTTCAATAATTGGTGTGCCAGGAAATTACTAATGGTATTTTAATGAAAAAAAAGCAGCTGTCATTTGTCATGTGGTATGTTATTTATTAAAGGAATATGGAAATACAAAAAAGCATTTTCTCATGCACATAAAGTAATGATATAGATTTGTTTTGTCAGTGGGGTAATACACCTGAAGCAATGCAAGTCGTCGCTGTCCAGACATAATAAACCTCATCAGATCACATTATATTCATCTTTAACTAATGCAAATTGAAACACCTTGACTCTCAAACAGAGGATTTTAATCCTTGCTTCTTTTCAACCACTCTCAAAGGAATTTAATTTGGTTCAACTGCAGGTTCCTGTGTATTATGCAAAAACTGAATGTGTTAAAATTGAGGGGCTAATTATTCAATTTGAGAGGTAGTAATCACATCCTTTAGACCAGGGGTGTCAAAGTCAAGGGCCAGGGGCCAAATCCGGCCCGTGACTTCATTTTATGTGGCCCCACAAGAGCTTGCAAAGAATATAATATGTTTATTATACGGTTACATGACGATCTACAGAAGCACGTTGCCCATAAACTACATGTCCCACATCCTCTAGGACATGACTTGTAACTGGGCAGAGGACCTTACTGTCGCTTCATACACGTTAAAGTCCTCTGCCAGTTACAATTTCTACAGGACGGTTTACTGTCCGGCATTTTTGTGGGTA